TTTTAAGCCCTGGTGTATTACAAATGCCTGCATTTACTACTATGGATTCACATTATTACAATGAGATATAGGAATGGGTGGTGGATATTTTTCAGACCAATAAATTCTTACTGTTAACTTGGGCATTGAGGAAAACCCTATTGCTTATTCATGAGGTATTTTGAGGTCATTAGAAAAAAAAGAGTATAAATATGGCAGCATTATCATGATAACATCTCAAAAATTCAAAATTGAAGTATCCCTTTAATGTCCTCTGAATTCCTAATTTATTGGGCGACTAAATTCATATAAAGAACATGACTTGGGAATACAGCCAGAATGACTTAAGAGAGAAGACAATACCATGTAGAGATTCTTTAAAGCTGGGTATCTTCAGCTTTAAAGAATGCTTCATCCATGCTAAATAATAATTACATCAACAATAATAAACTCTCTCAACAGAAATTTATTAGATCTTCCATCTCCATGTGAAATCTTTTAAAGGATTCTTTATTCAGCTGAAATGCTTTCTTGCATGATGTGCAAATGAGGATGAAATAAAGCCTGAGAATGTGGTCAGGGAGACTGAGATGGAATAAGCAGACCAAAAAATATTAAACCAGAAAGTAATGCATGAACTGAAGTACACCTGGTAAGTATGCATACCATTGCTCTACGCTAAAAACCATCACAAACCATTTGGAGTAATCAAAAAAATTGCTGCCCAGGTGCAGCAGTTTATATTTTGAAAATGAAATAAATCTAGTGGATACTGTGGATGAAGAACTTACAAAATCTTATTAGAAAAATAAATCTGTTTTGAGTTAGAAGAGTGAAAAAATCCTAACAAATTACTGGAGAAGAAGTGTTGCAAAACTCAATACATTCATGTTTATTCAATAATCACACACATGTTCTATTAAGAAATGCAGGAAAAAAGTGCAATAAATATTGACTTTCACAGCAAAATGTAGACGTGTATGTGCAAAGAATAATGAATCCCTTTCATGACAGTTTGGGAAAAATAGAAACTTTGAGCCATTTACACCGGTTGAAAAATAAGAAAGCTGTCCTCTTCAGTAGCAGGGGGAAAGAGCATTTCAAGTTTGTTGTATTGAGATTATTCATTTGACTTGATTCTTTATATGCAGAAAAGCCAGTTCATATTTGGTGTTTCTTTTTGAATATAGGAAATCATGGGGCAAGACATACACTTGGAGCTCTTTTAATTTGGGAGTGGAGACAAAATCATGAATCAACTCCCCCTTTCATGCTGTTACTTTTCCTAAAGATCTCTAAATATAGAAAGGACTCAAATTCACTTTGGGCCTTGGTAAAAATCACACTGTGTTCTAAACACCTCATACCACTCCCTAACAATATTTTTATCCAGGAAAAATCATGTTAAAATGAACTTAAGAGCAAACTAGAGGAGGGGGAATGACAGAAGCATTTTGGAAATTCTTATGCTCTATTGATCAGAGCATAACTTGGTACAATCTTTGAGATGAGAGGTGGCACAACTGAGTTAAATGTATTAAAAACTTAAGATGCTCAGGTCTTTAACCTATCAGTTCCATGGGATCCTGAGAAAGTAATCATAAGATGCGTATAACAATTTTCATGTGAAGATATTCAACAGCATTATTTATAACTAGAGGCCCAGTGCACAAAATTTGTGCAGGGGGGTCCCCTCAGCCCAGCCTGCACCATCTCCAATCCAGGGCTCTTCAGGGGATATCCGACTGCCCTTTCACAATCCAGGACCGCTGGCTCCTAACTGCTCACCTGCCTGCCTTCCTGATTGCCCCTAACTGCCCCTCCTGTCTGCCTGATGGCCTAATCTCCCCTAAATGCCCCCCCTGCCGGCCTGGTCGCCCCCCCCCCCCGCTGGCCTGGTCACCCCAAGCAGCCTGCTGTTCAGTAGTTTGGTCGTCCCTCACTAACCTCCCTGCCAGCGTGGTCACCCCCCACACAGCCGGCTGTTGGTTGTTACTGTTACTGTGACGGTGTCCTGGGCAATTTGCATATTCCTCTATTATTAGTATAGATGGTGAAAATGTGGAATTGACCTAAATTTTAATGGTAAATGATTTAATAAATTAAATTATGATTCAGAGGGGACCACTGTGAAACTTTTAGAAATCATGTTTTAAAGAATATTTATTTACCTGCGAAATGTTCATGATTGTTAAATGCATAGACAACACATATGGTTTAGCTTCTATCATGTTACGTGTGTTTATATATAAGACTAGAGGCCCGGTGCATGAATTCGTGCATTGGTGCCAATTGAGGCTGGGCGAGCTAGGGGGAGGGGACACAGGAGGTTGGCCAGCCGGTCCCACCCTCGATGGGGGAGGGTGCAATTGGGGCTGTAGTGTGCATCAAAGCAACCAGTCATTCTGGTTGTTCCGGCATTCTGGTTGCTTGGCTTTTATATATACAGACTAGAGGCCCGTTGCACGAAGAGATTCGTGCAATAGGCCTTCCTTCCCCTGGCTGCCAGCACTGGTTTTCCTCTGGCACCCAGGACCCAGGCCTTCGCTCCGGCCGCAGCGGAGAAGCCAAGCCTGGAAGCTTCTCCGCTCTGACCGCAGCAGAGAAGGCAAGCCTCTTCAGTCTTCAGTTGTCTTCAGTCTTCAGTCTTCTTCAGTCTTCAGTTGTTTTCAGTCTTCACTTGGGCGGAACCTTCAGTCTTCGCTCCATGCCTGCATATGCAAATTAACTGCCATCTTTGTTGGGCTAATTTGCATACTCATCCTGATTGGCTGATGGGCACAGCGGAGTGACATCAATTTGCATGTTTCTCTTTTATTAGTGTAGATGTCTAGAAAAAAAGACTGGAAGGAAATATTTAAAAAATGTTCACTGCTGAGTAATGGACTTTTGCATAATTTAAATGTTCCTATTTTTTGTTTTTTGTGTGTATTTTCATAATTTCTATGCTAATTGCTTTTATACTCAGAAAGGAAAAACTTAAGTGTTTTTAAAGAGAAAGACAACCAAAAGGTCAAAGAAAGAGTTCTGACTTAGTTATTGGAAGGAGACAGAATCTCAAGTCTTGTTTGTTTTCCTTGAATCAGTGGGTGAAATTGATCCTGCTTTAGCAGTAGAAGGGAGACTTTGAATGAGTAGGATCTGGGTCGACGAGTCCAAAATGTGAAACACTGGTTGGACTTAAAAAAAAAATACTCATTAGTTCAACTGGAAAGAGCTAATCTCTGGAAGTACCCAATCTGCTGTGTGATTCCTGGTGGGACAACTGAACGGCAGGCTCCACCTTCAGAAACTTGCTTACCCCCTAACCCCCTGCAGTGCAGAGCTTCCACTGACCCCCTGCTGAGTTTTCAAGAGTTCCCAGGGTTATCATCAGCCTGGTGGGGCATAACACAGTAAGAAAAATAGGACCTGGGTTTCGTAGTTCCACGTGCAAATGCAGACACAATCACTTGCCCTCAACATTATAAGATCATATAATGGTGCTTGGTAAATTGCTTTGAGATACGCAGGCAAGTCTGTAATTCCATTACCAGTCTTTAATCAGTGTTTCTATTCACTCATGTAAGAACCATTGAAAACCATTGATCCTGAACTTTATATAGTCATCAGCAAGTGAGTTTGGGAAAGTTTAGGTGCCAAGATCTAAGCAAACTAACAGGATAAACAACTGTAATAGCATTAGGCAGATAAAACCAATGCAAACCATTTGAAGTTTGTGTGATGATAAAGGAAAATCAATAAGGAAATAATTCCGCTGAGAAATAATGCTCCAAGAGAACAAACTGAAAGGAATGGGGATGTCCATTACTGATTTGGCCCATCATTTCACTCCTCCTCTCTCTATTAAATAGATGTTTGAGAGTTGATTTTTATCATCAAGAATACTGGCTTCCCAGTTTGGAAGTTTATTTTACCAATACTCCATAGAGCAATGGTGAAGATTTTAGCTATTTAGCAACAAATTTTTAACAGGAATTCTTTCAATACATTTTTTATACATCATACTAACATTTATGTGTGCGTGGTTTGTACCTTGGATTTTATTGGCACCAATCTGCTCAGTGAAATGCTAAGTCAGCCACCCATGGTGCCAGTGGGACTCTATGATAAGGGAATGGTGGTAAACTCTATGAAGAGTTTCTACTTGTATAATGGATAACTGTTTAATGAGAATTTTCTCATTAAAATTAGTGCTATGCAGCTTGTTTGTCAATTAATATAGCACTAGAGCAAGTTTTGTAGAGACTTATCATCCACTGCCCATCCATTTAGCATCCATCTATCTATCCATCCACCCATCATCCATCTGAAATAATTTCAGATTCCGTACAAAATCTAAGATAAAAGTAGAATAGTAAAAAAAGATTAAATACAGGATTGGGCAAAAGTAGGTTTACAGTTGTGAGTACACAAAACAAAGTTTATTCTTATATTTATTAATTATTGTATTATTTTCCATATGAACAACTGTAAACCTACTTTTGTCCAATCTGTAAAGCCAAGAATGCGTTTACTAAGTTTGAATGAGTCCTCTGCATTTTCCAGAAGTGGGCTAAATTTCTAGTGGCTACTAGAGAGAGAGAGAGAGAGAGAAAGAGAGAGAGAGAGAGGGAGGAAATCTTGTTCCATTATTTTTTTTAATTAAATCTTTATTGTTCAGATTATTACATTTGTTCCTCTTTTTCCTCCCATAACTCCCCTCCTCCCAGTTCCCACCCCACCCTCCGCCCTCACTCCCCACCCACTGTCCTCATCCATAGGTGCACGATTTTTGTCCAGTCTCTTCCCGCATCTCCCACACCCCTTTGTTCCATTATTGTTCCATGAATCCCTGAACTTCCCAGCAGGTTGCCAGGGGAATTTACAGCAGGTGAGACCAACTAGGGTAGAGCTGCCTCCATCATCCTGCTTAGTCAGAGGAGTTCTAAGTCTATGTGTTTTTATGTGGTGTGGGTTTTGTGTAAGATTTAAGGTAAAATAGCATCCTTTACTGAATTGTGTGGCTATTCTTCTTGCAGGTAATGCATATCCATTCTTGGTACTAAGGCTGTGGGACATCACATCATGGACAAGGTGCTGATGTTACAGTGAACAATGTACTCAACAACACCCTTGAAGAGAATTGTGGAAGGTAAGTGTATTTTCCTAGCTGAAGGTTTAAGTATCTCATTCCGTTTATTTATTCAACAAATACTTATCAAACACCTGCTGTGTGAGCTGCATATGGCATGAGGTGGGGGGCAGAGGGCGATGGACAGATGACATACTACTGAATATAAGACATATGTTTTTTATTTTGAGAAAATCTTTTTTATATTAGCCATGCATAAAGTTATACAATAAGGTAGATAATAAGACTAAAACCATCAACTTTAGACATGAGAGCTTTGTAATCTAGAATTTTATCACAATTATATTATCATAGGCTTTTCAAACCAGGCTGGCCTGACATTCATTAAAGAATGTCCAGGTTTGGATAAACATAGAAACATGGCGAAGGTGTGCAGGTATTGTCACTAGAGAGGAAATAAATAAAAACTATTAAGAAAAGTACTGAGCACAAGTTTTTGATTGGGCAGGGAGAAGGAGGGAAGAGAGAAGAATTTACAACTTCAGTGTAAAAACCCAGAAGTTTCCTGATGTTCTGCAGTGGATGATTTTTGCACCTGCCAATGTGAAAGACTACCCTCCACCCCCTGGCGTAGATAATTGACATCTAATATTACCATTTTGGCTAGAGAGGGAAAGAAGACTTCCTGAAGAAGAGTGGGGTGAAAAAGGGATGGCAGACCACAGCTTCTGAGATTAAGGCTATACTTATCAAATACTAGTAACCTTTTTCAGTCTCTCTCTCTCTCTCTCTCTCTCTCTCTTAAACACAGCATTATTACACATTTTATAAGATATGTTATTTTAAAAGAGCCACTCTTTTGGCCATGGTGTACTGTGTAGAAGAGTATGTATTTGAACCCTAACTATACAATCTTGGGTAAGTAACTTGGCTTTTCTGAGTCTCTCTGTTTCCTCATTTTCAAAATGAAGATAATAACAGATAATCTCCCTAATCCCAGAGCGTATTAAATCAGGGTTATATTTGTGAAAGGTGCCATGATTTACATATATTTGTGAAAGATCCCTGGGAGGATCCGCAAGAAACTAACAAAGTGGTTGCATTTGAGGAGAAGTGAGAAACTAGGGGTGGGGGTGGGGTGGAGAAGGAAGAGAAAGATGATAAAAGGGGAGAGGGGAGACTTTTTTTTTTTTAAAGAATAGTTTTATTGATTTTTAAAGACAGAAGAAGGGAGAGGGAGAGAGAAAAACATCCAAGTAACAGTGATACTTGATCCTCTGCGTCCTGCATGCCCCATACCAGGAATTGAGCCCACAGGCATGTGCCCTGACTGGGAATCAAACTGTGACCTCCTGGTTCATAGGTCGATGCTCAACCACTGAGCTCCGCCAGTTGGGCTCTGAAGAGATTCTTTGATTTAAAATGGTTAAAGCTTTCTTCTCTTCTGGGAGGTCACAGCCCTGGATGACAACCTTTTCTAATCATCTTATAAATCTAAAGTGTTCTTATCTCCAATTCAGACATTTAACTGTATCCTTTTCTGCATTTTTCTGACCCTTTCCAACAGGGCATATTTGCTCGGGCTCATTCTTGATTGGCTCTCTCTCTCTTGACACTCTTTCCCATGGTGACTATGTCCACAGTTGCATCTCTGCCCATTAATTCTACATGGATGGCCCTAGTTCGGATCTCCCATTCAAGTGCTCTGCCTGCCTACAGAGTGTCTGTTCTTGGATAGATGCTTCATAAGGCGGGAGTTTTGTCTGTTTTATTTAATGATGCATCCCCCACTCCTTCCTTCTTTCTTCCTTCTACTCATTTATTTTCAATTCACTCCAAACTTTGCCCTGCTTACTGAACTCAGACTAAGGTCACAGTGAGCTCCACCTTGTCAAGTCTCTGATGTCACAACTCCCTGTTATAACCTCTTATAATACCTTAGACCTTTTCTTTGTAGCACCACGATTTTTAATGTATGTCATGAGTTACTTAATGATGCTCTCTCCGTTAGGTTACAAATTCCAGGAAGTTAGAGCTACATTTGTTCTGCTAATCAGTGCTGGACAAATTGTAGACACTTAAACAAAATATTCATTGATGAAATAAACTACTTATCTGCTAATTGAATTATTTGTATTTAACAATTTATTTACTTATAGAAAAGTTCATCAGTGCCCATGGAACAGAGCAGTTGGAATCAAAGGGAGCAAATATGACACATAAAAAGTTGTTCTGAAGTGGAAGAGGGAAGCTTTCTGAACAGTGTGCAAAGTAACGTTATTTGTCATTCACCACTCAGGTTGTGAAAGGTAGTCTCTCAACACTGGCTTTTTAATTAAAATCTTCTCTTACATTATGAGTTACAAGAGGCCCAGTGCATGAAATTCATGCACAGGAGGGTGGGGGTCCCTCAGCCTTGCCTGCACCCTTTCACAATTTCACAGGGATCAGGTCTAAACCCGTAGTCGGACATCCCTCTTGAGATTCGGGACCACTGGCTTCTAACCGCTAACCTGCCTGCCTGCCTAATCGCCCCTAACTAATTGCCTGTCTGCCTGATCGCCCCTAACCGCCTCTGCCTTGGCCCCCGCCTCTGCCTTGGCCCCCGCCACAGCGGCTTCGTCTGGAAGGACACCCAGAAGGACGCCCAGAATGATGTCCGGAAGGTTGTTCGGCTGTCTGGCCTAATTAGCATATTACACTTTTATTATTATAGATTATTATGTTTTTTGGCTTGGATTGCTAATATGCCTAATTAATCGCCTATATTGGGTTCATCTTATCTTTTTTGAAGTCCTGTGTAAGCTCATGCACCTAGAGATTTAATTACAGAACTCAACCCTTCTCCATTATTTTCATAGACTGTAATCAAACCTATCCTTGGCAACTCTTCATGGAAACTCCTTTGACGCCTGTTAAGTCATTTTCTTCATTAATGCCTAATAAGTCTTCAGAGTCAAAGAATAACTGAAAAATAAACATAATTTCAGAGACCAGAGTCAAAAGGAACCCTACATGAAAGGGCTTTTGATATGCCACAGATGGGAACAAGAAGAGACTGGATTAGGAAAATGGGGAGGAATTAGCAAATGCCAAGGAATATCAGATGGAGTTATGGTGTCTTCCACATTTTGGAACTCTAATACCACTGAATATTTTGGAATTTGAAAGATTTGTGTAAACCTGAAGGTTAACCTCTAGAGTACCTGAAATATGTTGGCTATACTTGGATTTAGAAATTTTGGGAAAAATATTAGAAAATTTGGGGAGACTGCCTCCTTGAAATGGTTAGAATCTGAGTTATTGCTGAAATTGTATAGACAGTAAAGTGTTCTAGTAGTAGTTCAGCTGTAGTTGAAACTCTATGCAAGATCCAGGAAGCTGTATCTTGAGTAGGGTAGTCATATAAGAGTTATTGAAAATGAATTTAAGACCATTCTTTGTAAAATGTGATTTGAAGTTTTGTCCATGTGGATAAATGAGATTATTTTAGTAAACAAAAAAACAAACACTATACTGGCCCAAAACAAAATGACCGAATTAGTGAAGCAAGCGACTAAAAACGTATCTGATATTTAATAAACAGATTGACTAAATTCTTACTAAGACCATGAGAATTATAGTTCCCATGCTCACATATTCTCTTGCTGGCGTTCATGAAACAAGTGGCCCTGGGGAGAATCCTAGTGGCAAGGAACTGAAGGTGGTGTCTAGCCAATAGTCAGCAAGGAACTTAGGCTTTCAGTCCAACAACCATCAGGAACTGAGCACTGCCAACGATCACATGAACCTGGAGCAGGTTCTTCTCTAGTCCAGCCTTCACATGAGACTCCAGCCCCAGCTGATACCTTGATTGCAGAGTTGTGAAAGACCCCGGAGCAGAGGACCCAGGGAAGCTGTATTGGACTCCTGACCCACAGAACTAGGATAATAAAAGTATGCTGTTTTAAACCACTAAATTTGTGGTGATATTCTATGAGCTTCTTTGTTTAGCATACAAAGCTCTTCACCATTAGTTATTGACTAATTTTTCTAGCTCCTGTTATGATCGTCTCCCTCTCACAGTTCTTCTGCACAAACCTCCACACAACTCTATTTTTTTCTCATTGTTCCCAGGACAACCCACAACTTGGGGCCTTTGCAGAAGCTTCTCCTCCGTCAGATGCCTTCCTTTTGCATACTCTTCATTATCTTTTAAGAGCTAGACCAATGACTGTTTTCTTTAGGGGTAACTCTGTCCTAACTGTTCCCGTAACACTTTCTTAATGTATATAATACCATTTATCACCTTGTGTTATAATTTATACAGCTGGCATGATAATCTTGGATGTTAATCTGAATTTTGCTTTCCAAACTTTTCTCTTTATCCTCTTTTCCTGTTATTGTAGTCATATTATTAGTATTTCTTTGCTTTGGGGATTTTTGGAGGGTGGAAAGCAAACCTTTGAAGTTGTTTGGTTTTCTTCAAGACCAAACTTATTCAGTAGATTGTGCTGGATATCTGAAAGAGGGAGAAGAGGAGGGAGGAGTGACCCTCAAGGAGAGAGTACCTGGGGATGGAGGGAGAGATGGGGGGAAAGAAGCATGACTTCACTGCAGCACTCCAGGAGAGAGGAGCAGGCCTAAGGAGAAGGAGAAAGTAAGATTGGTACCGTCCTAGAGATAAGAGCTCAGACTCGGCGCTCTGGCCACCTAAAGAGTCCCATGTCCCAGGCACAGAGTAGAGGAAATGTTGGCTGTGAATAAGAACACTGGGTGTCACCATGGCAATCAGGCATGCCCCTGACCCAGGATTGGAGAGACCTGCCCATCTGTGCCTGGCCCATGTTACTTTCCCCTCTCTAGTGGGGGAAGAAAAATCATGACTCTGATTGAATTTCCCACAATATATTGGGGAAGAATTGGCTTTGAGTTAGATTTAACTTGAGTTAAAAAAAAAAAACCACAACAAAGAAATTTTGTATTTTTTGCACACCTGTTTGTAGAGGAAGATTCATACCAGTTAAATGAGCCCCGAGCACTAGAAGCATGAGGAAAGCTACACCCAGGAACATCATAATCAATTTGTTCAAAACCAGTGTTGAAGGGGAATTCTTAAAAGCAAGCCAGAGAAAACACAGGCATTACACACAGAAACAAAGATAAGGATGATCGGAGCTTTCTCGTTGGAAACAATACGAGTGAGAAAGCAGCGGAGCCACATCTTGAAAGTGCTGCTCAAAGAACAAAACTGTCAGCCTGCGATTCTTCATCCAGGGAAAACCACTCTCAAAAACGAAGGCAAAGAAAGCTTTTATTTTAAGAAATACAAAAGCTGAAAGAATTTATCACCACCCGCAAACCCATGCTACACAACATGTTAAAGGGAGTCTTTCAAGAAGAAGGAAATGGCACCAGATGGAAATGTGGATCTATACCAGTGGTTCTCAGCTGGGGGTGGTTTTGCCCCTGCAGACATTTGGCAATATCTGGAGACATTTTTGGTTGTCACAGTTTGAGGGGAGAGGGGAGGGGGTGGAAGGCTCTTAGTGTCTAGTGGATAGAGGTCAGGGATGCTATTAAACATTCTATGATGCACAGGACTGCCCTACCCTCCAGGAAGGAATGCCAATAGTAAAGAGGTTGAGAAAAGCAAGGAATGCCAATACTAAACAAAGGAATTATGTGGGTAAATGTAAATATTTTTCTTACTTTTTAAATCTCTGTCATAGATTATTGTTCATTTAAACTAAAATAATAACAAGATGATGTGGGTTTTATAACAAATATTAAAACAAAATCTATGGCAACAGCACAGAGGCTGAGAATTGAGAAGTGGAAGTATACTATTGCATGGTTTTATACTATATGGGAAGTGGTGTAAAATCATTTGAAGGTGCACTGGGATAAGTTACATATGTATACTGTACTACCTAAAGTAACCAGTAAAATGTGTAACAAACAAAGAAAAGATATAGCTCATCAGCTAACAAAGGAGATAAAATAAATCACTAAAAAATCATCAATTAATCCAAAAGAAGGCAGAGAAAGAAAAGGGGGGATAAAGAACAGATGGGAAAAATAAAACACAAATAGCAAGATAATAGACTCAAACCTAATCATATCGCCATTCATTTTAAATTTAAAAGGCCCAAGCACCCCAATTAAAAGGTAGTCATCAGATTTGGATTAAAAATGATCCAACTATGACAGGAGACTTGGAGTGGTCAATACAATATACAGTATACATGATGTATTATAGAATTGTATTCCTGAAACCTATATAATTTTATTAATCAACTAGAGGCCCGGTGAATGAAATTCTTGCACTGGGGGTGGGGGTGGGGGCTCCCTCAGCCCAGCCTGCTCCCTCTCACAGTCCAGGAGCCCTCAGGGGATGTCCTACTGATGACCTAAGCCGCAGTCTGGCCGCGGAGGCTCAGAGCAGGCACCGTGTGTGTGTGTGTGTGTGTGTGTGTGTGTGTGTGTGTGTGTGTCTCTGCTGGGGGCCTGCTCTCAGCCACTCCGCAGAGCAGGCGCCCCGTGTATGTGTGTATGTGTGTATGTGTGTGTGTGTCCATTGGGGGCCTGCCCCCAGCCGCACCGTGGAGGCTTGGAGCAGGCGCTCCTCTGTGTTGATCTCTCAGGCTCTGGGCCATGCCTGCGTGTTGTTCTCTCAGGCTTGGGGCCGCGTGTGGCCCCTCCTCCTGAGCTGGTTGGGACTGTTACTCAATAAATTCAATGAAAAAAAAAAGACCCAACTATACACCTGCAAGGGACTTTAAATTAAGACACAAATAGATTTAAAAGTAGTGGTTTAAAAATAATAACACTAATTTTTTTAAAAATTGAGCTATATTAATATCAGAGAAAGTAAACATAATAGCAAATAATGTTATCAGGTATAAAGAAGGTCATTTTATAAAGATAAAGGGATCAGTTCTTCAGGAGGACATAATAATTCTAAATATTCAAGCTCCTAGTAACAGAACTTCAAAATGCATGAAGCAAAACCTGTTAGTATTTCAAGGAGGAAGATAAATTCACAACCATAGTCAGAGATTTTAATGTGGCTCTCTCAATAACAGACGGAACAAGTACATGAAAACCATTAAGGATATAAAATACTTGGACACTTGTTTAACCAATGTGACCTAATCGACATTTATAGAACACTCTATCCCAAAGCATCAGGATAGAAATTCTTTTCATGAGCACATGGGACATTTGTTATCTTCTGAGCTGTAACACAAGTTTCAAAACATTTAAAAGTTTCAAGGCATTCAAAATGTGTTCTCTGACCATGGTGCAATTAAATTATAAATCATTAACAGAAAGATTTCTGGAAAATCCCCAGGTATTTTGAAACCAAATAATGCACCCTGCCTGTCTTTGGGTCTAGTGGGAGGTATTTGGTCACATTTCTCTTCTGCTTGGGATTTTAATACATAAAAGAGTGAAGACATTGGGATGGTTTAGATTCAACCTTGCTTATCCAGGAAGAGTGGAAGGAACAGTTTCAACCCTAATGGTCTTTTGTATTCAAGGTGTTTATGCACAAAGAACAAAATCACGTAAACTCTTAGAGAGGAAAAAACTTATTTTAAAATTTAAAATATATCTTATATAATAAAGAGGCAATATGCAAATTAACCCTCACAAGATGGCTGCCTATGACCAGGCCTGCAGGGGGGTTAGTGAGGGACAACAAACGACTGCACAAGCAGGCTGCGTGGGGTGACCAGGCTGGCAGGGGGATTAGTGAGGGACGACCAAACAACTGAACAGCAGGCTCCATGGGGCGACCAGGCTGGCAGGGGGTTAGTGAGGGACAACCAAATTAGGGGCAACCAGGCCAGTAGGGGTGGCAGTTAGGGACGATCAGGCCGGCACTCAGAGACAGTGAGGGGGGCAGTTAGGGGTGACCAGGCAGGCAGGCAGATAAGCGATTAGGAGCCAGTGGTACAGGATTTTGAGAGGGATGCCCGACTGCCGGTTTAGGCCCGATCCCCCTGTGCACAAATTTCGGGCACCGGGCCTCTAGTAGTAATATAATATTTAAAGACGAATATAACTTTATTGCCTTTGAACCTAATATATGGTTATTTAGCCAACTGTTTCAGGTAGCATAGCTTGAGGAATTGCTTTTAAAAACAAATGTGAAATATAAAAATGAAAATATTTTGATGCTTTATAATGGGAATGCTTTATAATGAATATGGTGTTTATAAGTTTGCTTTAGATAATAGATAAGAATGTTTCTAGAGAAATAGATGCTTCCAATTTGTTCATATAGTATATGTATAAATTGTTATTTTAAATATAATCAATATAAATAAATATTTTATTTTCCATAAAAGGTCCAATTTTTCCCCCCAGGACTTTGACAGGTGGAGTCTGATTCCCTTCCTCGTGAATGTGTGCTTGCTTCTGATGAACAGATTGGAGTGGAAATGATGCTGTGACACTTCGGAGGATAGGCCACAAAAGGTGATATAGCCTCCACCTGGCATTCTCTCTCTTAGGATGCCTGCCTTTACAACCCTGCACCATGTTCTGAGAACGTCTGCGGATTGACCCCATGGAGATGCCCATGTGGAGAGGAGCTGAGACCCCCAGGTGACAGCCAGCACCAACCCCAGATATGTGCATGAGGGAGCTTGCAAGTGATGCCAGCATCAGTCTCAAGTCTCCCAGCTGAGGACTCAGACGTAATGGATCAAGGGCAGGTTTTCCCCAGGTGTTCTGTCTAATTCTTGACCTACAAAATTCATGGGTATAATAAGTGGTTGTCTGTGCTGTTAAGCTTTCAGGTAATGTATTACAGAGCCACAGTTACTGAAACACCATTGCCATCTTGTTTAATAAACCCATTTTAATTTCCTATTCTTCATAAATAATTACATATTTTGAGTCTGGATTTTTAATAAGATTTCAGCACACACTGTTTCTATATAGAATGTCTATTCACAGTTACTACATGTGTGGTTACACTACATAATTTGATATATTCCTGAATAGCTCACTAAATGGAGAAACAGTACACATGGATCTCAGAAAAGGCCAGAATCTCCCACAGGCTGGTGTCTGGTTAGATCACCAATCTCAGCTATAAGGCCAGATACGCTATAGCGTTTTGCCACCCGGGTTCAGGAGCTGAATAGATCACTTTTAAATCCAAGCTTACCACATGGCACCTGTGTATACAAGAATGAGTTCTACATCATCTCTGAGCCTTAACTGCCCATTTTTGTGTGTGTGTGTGTGTGTGTGTGTGTGGGAATAATAGCACCAATCTTACAGTATTGTTATAATAAATGAATGATACAATGGTGGGCACTCAAATAAATGCTGAGCGCCTAGGGTTATGCATGTGAAATTTTCCATTTAAATACACGCCTTGTCATACTATCTTAACTTCAGATCTGGAAAATTTCCCCTAAACACCCACTGCTGACCAGAGCTTGTAAAATTGACTTTTACAGGAATTCACTGTGCTGTTAATTGCGGTGACTTCCCAGACACAGTCTGATCACGACTGTTGCCCCTTCTGAACACTCCTGGAGAAGTGAAAACTATCCCCATAGGACCCTGGGCTAACTAACACCCACTGACTTTCAGGTAAGCTGAGTTGTGTCTTGGTGAATTTCAGTTTAGTCCAGAGATTCAATTCTCTTGGCTTGTTTCACTGAGAGAAACACAGAAACAATTTTACAGAAAGATAATTTCCCGCAGATTTTTTGAGAAGTTCCACTGTTTGTTGTGGAAACAGTGTGGTTAAAATAAAACCCAAAGCATTACTTTTCTCCTCCGACAGTCTGATTGGGTTGACTCAGTGGCACTCGCTTCGGGGACATGCCCTCGTCTCTCTCCCTCAGCCCTTCCAGGAAGAACAGTCTTGTGTGATTTTAATGTGATCGTGTCTTTACCATGTGGTCTATCAGCTGTCACTGTCAGTGTGTTTGAGAGTGTCTAGAAGGGGTTTTAATTGGCAAGATCTTTAGTAAAATTTGCAAATTAGTGATCCACCGGCTGATGTTATGACAATGTCTAAACACTATCAGTGCCATTTTAAAATAATCTTTCATCGATACAACATTCATCTTAATTAGCCAGAAAATGTTGGTCCCAAAGGAAGCTGCCTACAGTTTTGTGGATTTGGCATTAAGTTAGCTGATGGCTTGCTGAACTTGATTTATTGGGGAAAAAAGAGAGATTTATCGAAGTTATTTATGTTTCATTCAACTTATGAGGTGTTGGTCAATGTCTGAGTGATTAGAATGTAGACCCAGGAATACAAGTGGAGAATACCCTTCTCTTTGATGGGATGGCATGGTATGAGAATCAGCCTACGAGTCTGGTAACTGAGTTTTAATCCTAGCTCAGCCTGAATTTGTTTGTATGATCCTGGGAAAGAATAACCACCATTCAAGGTGATCGAGTACTTACTCTACAGCAGGTACTCTACACTCCTTGTTTTGTTTCTTTTAACAACAATATGAGGTGAAAACCATTAGCATCTCCATTTTGGAGATGAAGAAACAAACTGAGGTGTAGGGAGTGGAACTATCTTGCCAAGGGTCATGGTCACGAGGAAGCTAGTAAGTAGTAGAGACCCAGGTCTCTCTGCCCTAAAGATTGAGGTCAACACAACCACGAGCTAACTCTCACTGAAAAGTCCCTTAATATTCGCTCTGCCCTAAAGATTGAGGTCAACACAACCACGAGCTCTCACTGAAAAGTCCCTTAATATTCATGAGCTTAGATTTTCTCATCTGTATAATGAAGCAGTTGTACCAAATGATCTTTTGTTTATCATTTAGAAAGAGTAGAATTGTAGCTCAGAAAGAGTAGGATTCTAGGTAGCTTATGTATCTGGATTTCTGGGTTATTGAGGGGTTGGTTTTGTCATGGTTTATATTCTCATGAAACCTGACAAGGTCCTTGTGGTATCCTTGGGAGGATGACAAATTAATGCCCTAGTACTGATTATTTTAAGTGAATTAGCCCCCTTACAAGTACCCTTTGTCTCCAAGTAAGCACTGAACTGAACATGACAACTCTTCTCACTAACTTATAGTTGTGAATTTTGTCAGCTAAAAACACCACCATTTTCTTTCATTCCAGTGATATCAGCAAATTCCTGGCCATGCTCAGAAGCCTCTGGGTGCCCTATCAGTATTTACTGGGCCTACCTGATTAATATTTATTATAGTATACCAGCTTTGGGGTCATTTAATTTAAATTTGAAAAAATTACTGGCTCTAGCCAACTGCACCAAAATGTATCAAAGAATATTTTTTCTGCTAGGAATTTTGCCCCAAAGCATGAAATTCAGTATAAACTTAGCCCAGTCTGCAGGCTAGACATGCCAGATGGCCGTTAAAACGAACCCTTGCTTGGCCTTTTCTCTTATAAAAATAATTTATGACCTGCTGCTCTGAACTTCCGATCGTGGGCTCTGCAGGTACCCTGGCAGTTTTTCCCCATGTTGGTAACCACCCTAAGCTGCCTCAGACAACATTGTTCTTGACAGTAGCCTTAAAATATCATGAAAGGGATCGTAGAGATCACTCGGCATTTCAGCCTCCTCATTACACAGTGTTATTATTTAGAGACAACTTTAGGAGATGGACTGTCAGGACTCAGGACTTCACGTCTCTTTAGGACTCAAGCATGAGTTGAAGTTTCTATTCTCCAGGCTTCATGTGTGAAATGGGAATGATAATGTCTGCTTTTCAGAGATCCTGGATGGATTACATGAAACTGCGACTATGGACATGCCTGGTGCCGTGTTGATGTTTATTGTTAATCATTATCATGGCAAGGACACAAAGGATTCTTCCATGTGCAATATACCCAGATTTTAAAACTATTTCTCTAAATTTTTAGCATCCTAGAAGATTTTTGTGGACCCTGAAGGACCTCAAGTTTATGGTTTTCTGGTGTGACCCCAAGAAACAAGGGATCCAACTATTCAAACAAACACACTATCTTTCTGAAAAAGGCCCAATCCAAACCATTTCTTCCCTCCATCTTTCCCAAGTCCCATGGTGAGGGAATTATTTGTTTTTGTTGCAGTTACTATTGCTGTATAGTGTAACAAATTACCCCTATTTTATGTTGTCAAACACTGATCATTTTATTATGCTCATAGATTTTGTGGGTCATGGATTTGGACAGGACACACAGGTATAGCTCATTTCCTACTCCTGTATGTCATGGGCTGGGAAAATATGAACAGGATTCTCAATGAAAGTCTCATATAGGTATATCTGACTAGAGGGGATCTAGCCTCCTAATTACCAAGCATCCAGAGAAATGAGTTTTCTGGCTGTATTAGTTTTCTAAGGGTGCTATTACAAATCCCCACAAAGTAGATGGCTTTATTGGCTCACAGTCTGGAGGCTAGAAGTCTGAAATCAAGGTGTTGGCAGAACCATGTTCCCTCTGAAGGCTCTAGGGAAGAATTCTTCCCTATGTCTTGGCTTGTGGCTGCATAATTCAATCTTTGCTTCTGTTGTCACATGGCCTTCTTCCCTGTAAGTCTGTCTGTGTGTCCAAATATCCCTCTCTTTTCTCTTAAAAGGATTGCAGTCATTGAGTTTGGGGCTCTAAATTCAGGGTCTGATTTCATCTTAAAATTCTTAACTAATTACACAGGCAAAGAAACTATTTTCATCTTAGGTCACCTTCTGAAGTTCTGGGTGAACATGGATGGGGGGGGGGCACTATTAAACCCACTACACAGGTTTCTGCCTTGGGATGTCTTTCCCAACAGAGCAAGAATGCTAAAAATATGCTGGGCAACCAAAATACATGATAAACATCCTATATGAATGCTCTTAAGGAAAGTAGGATGAGATAAGGGAAGAGAGGATGACACAAGGGGTGGGATGTAAAATATTTTGAGAAGAGCTTTCTTTCCAGGTGGACAGAACCACAAGTATCAGATGGTGTGGTCTGAAGTACAGCCAAGAAGCTAGTGTGGCTGGAATGGGCATAAGGGAGATGGGAGGAGATGAGGTTGGAGGTCAAGCCATTTGTAGGCCATTGTAAGATTTTGGACTTCATGTTAAAGGTAATTGAAAACCAGCGAGAGTTTTTGAGCATGAGAACAGGCTGATTTTATTTACATTTTTAATTTTTTAAATATATTTTATTGATTTTTACAGAGAGGAAGGGAAAGGGATAGAGAGTTAGAAAAAGCAATGAAAGAGAAACATTGATCAGCTGCCTCCTGCACGCCCCCAAATGGGGATTGAGCCCGCAACCAAGGTACATGCCTTGGACCGGAATCAAAGCTGGGACCCTTCAGACCGATGCTCTATCCATTGAGCCAAACCAGTTAGGGCTTATTGACATTTTTAAAAAGTCACTTGAGTTGCTGGGTGGAAACTAGACACAGGGTCAAAAGTGGGGGATCAGGGATCAGCTTGATGAGTCTGAGGACATGCCAGTCATTGAGGCAAGAAATAGTGGTGCCTTGGACAAGGTGGGTAGTAGTGGATGCAATGAGAAGTAGGAGCGGGATATATTTTGAAGGTAGAACTGACAGAACTTGCTGATGGTTTGGATGTGGAGTGTGAGCGAAAGGAAAGAGTTAAGGATAAATCCCAGCTTGTGGCCAGAGCACCTTGGTAAATAGGTAAATGATAGAGTTACTTTCTGAGGAGGACCAAGGTGTAGTAGGATTTAGAAGTACAATGGGAAATCAGGAGTTTAAGTTTGGATACACCAACTTTGGAAGCTTCATTAAACATCCAAGAGGATGAACATGCCATTGGATCTTAAGTCTGGAGCTTAGGAGAGAAGTCAAGGAGGGGATTTATAGTTGGGAGCCATCAATACATCAGTTGTGTGTAAAAGCATGAGGCTGAGTGAGGTTGCCTAGAGAGTATGCGGATAAAGAGAAAGCATGAGCAGAACCAAAACCTGAGGCATTCCAACGTTTAGAGAAGAGCAAGATGTCTTGAGGGTGTAGACACTGTTGGTAACACCTAGAGCCACCTCTACTCCAACTTCTCATTACTACCAGTACTTGTCTTTGCAAGATTCTTCTTCATGGGTCCTGGTAGTTTCAGGCTCTTGGTTTTGAGATCAGCTATATGGTCAAACATTTATTGGTTACATCTTATTCATATCTAAATGCTTTGGAGCAGGGAGCAGCTTCCTCCTGGAAAGTCCCATCTGCTGTGTTCTTGTTCTCAACTTTCATACCTAGAGACAAATGAGTCACGGATGGCTGAAGAGGCCTGTCTTCTCTGATTCACTGTCTCGTTCCTCCTTCTGCCTCCCATGTCCACTCAGGACATATGGCTGGAGCAGCCACCGCACCTGCACAAGCACTTGCTTTCACAGACCCAGCTGTCTAGGGCTCACCTGAGCACACCTGTTACCCTTTTCTTTGAAAAGCTGGCTATTGATTTCTGACTTCAAAGCTTCAAATCTTATAGGGGAAACCTTTAAGGTATTTATCTGCCCCCGAATGCCCACATTCCAAAAGGCCTTAGTCGGCCTGCATTTTATCTTTTGCTTTTGGATGATTTGAATTTGGTGACATGAGAGAGCTTGAGAAGCCGGGGGAGGGGTTGCCAAGATGCTTGGCTCCACTAACCATG